TTGAGACAGGGTCTCACTATGTAGTTAAGACTGACCTGGAACTCACTATGTAGCCCAGGCAGGTCTCGAACTCACTGCAATCCTCCTGCCTCAGCCTCCCAAGTGCTGGGATTACAGGCGTGCGCCACCATGCCCAGCTACCCAGCTACTTTTCAAGAAAACAAAGCTTTATAATAACTTTACAAGTAGATTATACAGAATCAGGATTTTACTGTGCATTAGTATTGTTGAGTTTCTCTACAGTACACTAAATTGGGTGGCCTGTAAACAACATTTTTGCTTCTCATTGTTGAAGAAATTCAAGATGAGGGCACTGGCAGACCTGGTGTCTGGCGAGAGCCTGTTCTTCCTAGATGACGCCTTCTGGGCTTTTCCGTACACAGGGCAGAGCCCTTGTGACGTGGTCGCCTCCCCTTGGAGTAAGGGTCCGACCCATGGACTTGGGGAGCGGAGGACGGGAGCATCAAGGCCTCAGTTCACAGAAAAATGAGTCCAGCTTGGTATGTGTGTACTTTGGTAGGCTTCTCACTTAACGGTGTGATAAATGCTGATGAAACTTTTAGTGAAAGACCATAAAATTTTGGAATTTAATGGCTTTGGGGAAAGTGCAGATTTCTGCTTTCTTTAGACATTTTCCTCCCTGTGCGTGAGGGCAGGGAAAGGACTGGGAGGATGAAATGAGTCGGTAGTTTCCTGTTACTGCCCATTCATGGTCCCTGGGGGTCTGACCACAGGTGTGGAACACACCGGGAGGGGAGAGGGCAGCAGAGCCTTGGGCTCTGGTGCAGCCCCCAGCCCAGCTGCAGCAGCTCAGGACCTTCCCCTCCCACCTCCCTGCTGCTGGTTACCTTTGAGAACCAGCCACACTGGTGCCCTCCTTCAGTGCCCAGGGAGTTATTCCAGGCGCTTCCATTTGGCTTGAGGGCGTCCACAGCCCGGCCTTGCCCGGCCTCCCCAGCCCTACTCTGCTGTGCATGCGCCATGCCGCGCACACCGTTGGGCTTTCCTCAGGCCACGGGCAGCCTGCAGCAGTGCTGTGTCTTTTTGGAGGCCCGGGTTTAACAGCCTTTCCCTCCTTCAGGGCAAGTCTTACTCATGTGTCAGGGCCCTACCCTCCAGCGGTGCCTCTGCTACCCTGCATTGCACTTGCTCAGCTTGTTCTGCTGAGTTCCCTGTGCACTAACATTCTCGAATCCTGGTTTGTTCACCATGGTGCTCTGTCTCTGACACTTAGTTGTCTTCTTTTATGCTGTTCAGGTAGTTTAGTGCTCCGTGTGGGCTTTCTCCATCCTGTGAGGTCCTCCGCAGACTCATACTGCAAGCCTCTCTCATGTTGATCTGTATTCCTAAGCAGGTTGGTGTTGACCATCAGCCTTCCGGGGGTTTGGGCTTTTGTACTGTAAGGCTGTGGACCAGACTCTGAATATATCAGCCCTCCTGATTCTGACTTAGGACGGCACATCGAGGGCATTTGCATGGTGGAGCTGCATGTTAACATTTTGTGGTGGTAACGAGTGAGAGGCTCGCCAGTGGGACATCTGGGAAGCTGGCTGAGGTGGGCCCAAGTCCCCTTGCCAATAAGGTAGGTGCCTCTGTTCTGGGAGGCCTGAGCAGGAGGTTCCCTGGTGGATTATGCATGCAGTTTCTCTTTCTGTAAAAAGGTCTGCGGGATTTGAGTAGTTGGATCCTAAGCTGGGGACCAAGGTGGTTGCTGCCATGGGGGCCAGGGCAGGAAAAGGCTCAGCCTGAGAGCTATAGCAAGAGCCTTGGTCAGCCATGTCACTCAGCAAACTCATTGAGCTCTTCTCAGAACCGGGGCTTGTGGATGGAGACGGGTTGGCCTCTCGCCTGGAGGAGCTTAGCCTGCTGGAGGTAGTATTGACGCAGCTGTGTGGTGGGGGCGAGGGCCACTGTGCACACAGGTGCTTCTGTTTCCTCCATAAAGCCCTGGCCCTTTCAGAGCGCAGGGCTGCCCCAAATATCACTGCACCCTTTCTCCCTGCCAGCCTTCCCAACAGATCAGATACTTGTGGATACCTGAGCTCAGGTGGGCAGCCAGAATCTGCCAGGAATGTGGAGCAGAGGTGCCAAGGTGGCTGCTTCCATGTGGAGGTTCAGGTGGAGTCCAGGAAGGTGGTATGCCGAGAGAGACAGAAGGTGGCCCTGACGAAAACCCAGGCAGACGGAGAGATGGGTGGCACGGGTGGCACCAGATGTGCCCTTCCTCAGATGCTGGCCGGCTGCCCAAGCTGTTTCCTGGAGGGACCCTGCTGTCCTTACAGATCGGTATCTGTCTGCAAGCTAATTTGGATGGATCTGTGTCCCATTTGATGAGCTGTCCCTAAAGTGCAGGGCGGGGAGAGCGCTCTTCCACTGAGCCTTGAAGGCTGGTGGACTGACCTTGGGCCGGTCCTCACGCCTCTGCATTCTGAGATGAGGGCACTGTGTGCTTCATCGATACTTTCATCAATACTCCTACTTTTAGCCTGAGAATTTGGGTTTTGTTAATTTTGCAAACTTGAATCTTAGTTTCATATAAGGTATTTCTAAGGACCAGGGATTTAGCTCAGTGGTTTGCTGCCTGCCTTGCAAGTGAAAGGTCCTGAGTTTGATTCCCCCATACCAAACAACAACAACAACAACAAAATGTATAAGGTATTTCTAGCAGAACTGCAAGATGAAAAGAATCTGTTAATCGTGGCTTTTTTCATAGCTTGACCTTAGGAGGAGGACAAAGCTGCAAATTGCTGAAGACCCAGAGCTGGCAGAGGGAGGGTAAGAGAAGACTAAAAGTGGGAGCAACCAGAGCAGAGGACCCCCTGAGTTCAGGTGCTTTTCCCTCGAGATTCATTTTACAAGTTCTTAAAAAAGTTGGGCCCGAGGGGCAGAAGTTCCCATTCCCCAGCCCCAGTGCAGGGACCGGGAGGCCTGAGCCCTCCCCTCCTTGGAGCTTTAGTACAAGCACTGCGTGGGCAACAGCACATGATGGGTGTTGTTCATTTTTCATTGAAAACGATTTCTAGCATCGTAGGTAAAAGTCCAGGTGTCATTAGAGCAACAGATGTATTATTCCACATGTCTAGGTATTTATCAGTCATAGGTTTATTTCTAATTTTGTTACATTTTGTTTTGAGGAGCCTTAGTGCATACAGAGAATTTCTTTTGTGTGTATGGTGCAGTATTTAGTGAAGACCGAATGTGCACAAACACTTGAACAAGATTATGTCAATGTCTTGATCATTTTGAGGGCGGATACTGTAATAATCATGACTTCTGAGGCACTGCAGCCAGTGTGAATATTCTGATGCAGCCCCTGGTCATTGTCATCTCTGGCCAGTGGCAGCATGGGCAGGGACGTGATGTGCTGGGACAGCAGAACAAGGCACTGTGCGAATGCTCGACCATCTCTCTTGTTTGCATCAGGAGGCTTGGAGAGGAACAGCGTAGAAGGAGGGACATTTTTGAGACAGGAGATCCTAACTGCATGTACTTCAGAGGATTTGGGAGCAAGGGGCATTGCTTGCCGTTGTACAGAACACTGGTCAGAAAAAAAGACATCTTTCATTCAAACTTCCTTATCTGAGTTACTTCCCTCTTTGCTGGGACACAACAGTCACACCCACAGTTTAGAGGAGGAGAGGTTTATTTTGGCTCAGTCACAGTCCACAGTCCCGCGGTCATCTGGCCCCAAGGCAGGAAGGCAGGGCAGGAGCCAGACTGGAGGAGAGCTGCTCAGGCTGTGGAGGGGACTGAAGTTGAGGAACCTCCAGGCCAGGGTCCCCACCTCCCACCAGACCCCGCCTCCTCACAGCGGGCAGTCCGGTCACCTTCCCCCTGCTGCATTCTGGGGCTTGGGGACATCCAGATATGAGCCGAAACCTCACTCCTTGGCTAGTCTGGTCCGCGACGAAAAATTACCCCAAAGCGGTGTGCATTTGAATTGCTCTCAGTAAATATTTGGTTTGTGTTCACTAAAATTTATAATGTTTTCTCTTCCTGGTCCATTTTAGCTTTTCTATTGAAGGTGGTGAACAGAGCCCCAGTGTACAGCGTTTTGCCTATAAGAAATAAAGTGGCCCGATTTTTTATTTGAGAAAAACGTTTTTTTTAAACTTAAATGTCACATTGGTTTAATTAATACTGTGGTAGTGATGTGAAACTTAACTGCTGGTGAGGTTATGTCCTTACCTGGGCATTTAGGAGACCTACTGCCTGTCCACTTACTCAATTTTCTGTCGTGTTTCTTTCATTGCTTTGTAACTTGGGCTGCATATTCATATTTATTCAACAGCTTTTTCATAACTTTATGGTGTCATGTATGGTCATTAGTTTTCTCTGCTCAGTTCACTTTTTACTCTGTAAGACTTGGTGGAGATCAAATTATATTGCAGTGAAGTGCAGAGGAATTCACTTATTCTTCCTTAGGCTTATCCCAAGTTCTGCTGCTACTGTTGAGTATTTTCTTACTTTCAGGACTTTTTTTTCTTCGGCTTAATGAGATTTCTTTAAGATGAGCCACTCCCAGAAGTTTTATATTTCTTTTTTTTGCTTAAAATTAATTTTTTAGCATATGATACAAACTGTACTCTTTTTGTATGTGTCTGAGCTCCTATAATTTAGTTCACTTGTGATTTAATTCTAGTGTATTCTGGCCATTGGTGTTTTGTCCTGCACAGGTAAGGCAGACTGGATTAGCCCTCAGTGGCCCTCTGTTCTGTTGAGGATGAAGTTCGCCTTTGTTAGTCACACTGCAGGACCCCTGTGCCCGGCCGACTGGCCTTGGTCAGTCTCTCAAATGCTGTTTTCATTCCTCTCATTGAGTTTCTCTTCCCAGAGGCAAAGTGATTTACTTCTCTTTGAATCTTAGCACCTTTCACAGTACACAGGGCATTGTCAGTGTTGGGCAGTACCTGCCTTGTGGATGCTGCCGAGAGTTCTCTTGGACTTGTCTTAACTCAAACCTGAGGGGCCAGGCAAAGAAAATGGAGTATGAATCAAGTTAGTAAGATACTGCTAGGTAGGAAATAATTTTTTTCAAGTTTGGGAGGTACTCCCTTTTTGGGTTATACATTTGTTTATGGTAAAGTTTCTGAAAGCTTAGTTTTGTTCCTAGGAGATTACAAGCTGCTGGAGGCCAAGGGTGTGTCCTGGTACTGCCCCTTTGTCCGCCCTTCTCGTGGGTAGCAGGTCCTCTCACTGACTGTAAATAAAGCGGAGAGATGGAGGTGTTAAAAAGTATGCTTCTTTTCACTAGAGTAGGAGCTTTATCAAGGACAGGAGCATACCGTGTTTGTCTCTGTATCCAAAACACTAGTTTGGCATCAGAGTTTTAGCAATTATGTTGGTTAATCTCCTTGAAAGGAAAGAACTTTATAAACTACTGGTGCTAAGTAATGAGGCTGCAAAGTGACTGTGTCCACAGCCACGTGCTTTGGGGAGGTTCCTGTTGTTTAAATACAGAACTGTCAGGATCTGATCTCGAGTGTCTGTTTCACTCGGGTGACAATGCCTATTCAATGGAGAATCTCTCTCTTCCTCTCCCTGCAGGTTGCCATGGCTGCTGTTGACAGCTTCTACCTATTGTACAGGGAAATTGCCAGGTCTTGCAATTGCTATATGGAAGCTCTGGCTTTGGTGGGAGCCTGGTACACGGCCAGAAAAAGCATCACTGTCGTCTGCGACTTCTACAGCCTGATCAGACTGCATTTTATCCCACGTCTGGGGAGCAGGGCAGACCTGATCAAGCAGTATGGAAGATGGGCCATCGTCAGTGGTAATGCAGTTCAAAGTCACATTCTTCTGTTTAGTTTTTTTTTTTTTTTTTTTTTTTTTTTTTTTTTTTTTTTTTTTTTTTTTTTTTTTTTTTTTTTTTTTTCTGGTACTGGGGATTGAACTCGGGTCCTTGTGCTTGCAAGGCAGGCAGGGAAACCACTGAGCTAAATCCCTGGCCCTGTTTAGGTTGTATTTTAAGTTGGATTCTTTAATCGAGGAGCTATTGAATTGAATGTGCTGTTTTCATGGGAATATGACACTGAAAAATATCATGATTCTTGTTATGATTACATTCACATGTTCTTACTTGTCTCATCGCAGGAAGAACTTGTCTCATGATTTGTCTTTTTATTCTTTTCTCTCCTAATCCCAGGCCTGCTCTACACCGACTTCCCTACCTCTCACTTTTGCTTTCCCTTTCATTATATTTATTTTTTGGTAGTACTGAGGATTGAACAGGACCTTGGTACGAAGTTACATTCCCAGCTATTTTTATTTTTTATTTTGAGATAGGTCTCACCAAGACACTAAATTTCCCAGGCTGAGCTTGAACTTGAGACCCTCCTGTCTCAGCCTCTTTCCTCTCCTTTTTTGCTGTTTTGAAATGATCCATAGAAACTATCCCCACTTTCAGAAATGCTTCACCTATTTGGAATTTCATTTTAATTTATCATTGTGTCCCAGAATGGCACTTCTGGCACCCATGCTAGCCAGGTGGAAGTTTGGAAACAAATTCCTACTGTGTCTCTCATCCACTTGGTGCATGTAAAATGACGCCTTGTCAGTTAGGGGATGTGGGAGAGGCTTTAGCACGCAGCATTATTAACCATTGTCTCTGACTGATCATTATAGAGCTTACTCTTTCTAGTGTCATTTTTTCTGGTTAAACCCAGTGGTAGTTCAGTCTCATTTTCAAGAACATCATGCACCAAGCATGCTCATGTTTCCTGGCTATCATCCTAGGTGCGACCGAGGGGATTGGAAAAGCCTACGCTGAAGAGCTAGCAAGCCGAGGTCTCAATGTTATTCTGATGAGTCAGGATGAAGAGAAGTTACAGAACGTGGCTAAGGACCTCGCCGACACCTACAGAGTGGAAACTGATGTTATAGTTGCAGACTTCAGCAGAGGCCGTGAGATCTACGATCCGATTCAGGAAGCTCTGAAAGACAGAGACGTTGGCATCTTGGTGAACAATGTGGGCGTGTCTTACCCCTACCCCCAGTATTTCACGCAGGTCTCCGAGGACAAGCTCTGGGACATCATAAACGTGAACATCGCTGCCGCTAGTCTGATGGTCCACATGGTGTTACCCGGCATGGTGGAGAGGAAGAAAGGTGCCATTGTCACCATCTCTTCTGGCTCCTGCTGCAAACCCACTCCCCAGCTGGCTGCATTTTCTGCTTCCAAGGTCAGGCTTTCCTTGCTGAAAAGTGGAACCTTCATGCAGTAGAACATTTAATACAGTCGTTAGGTCCAATTTGTTGTCAGCAACTTGAGTTGACTTGCACTGTATTTTTTTCCTGAAATGGTGATAAGCAAGTTTCTTTTACTCCTGACATTTCCCTCAGATTCTGAATTGAAGGCCTTCTCCTCCCCTCTGCTTTAACAGGCTTACTTAGACCACTTCAGCAGAGCACTGCAGTACGAGTATGCGTCTAAAGGAATCTTTGTGCAGAGTCTAATCCCGTTCTGTGTCGCTACCAGCACGACTGCTCCTCGAAGCTTTCTGCACAGATGCTCATGGTTGGTGCCTTCGCCAAGAGTATACGCACATCACGCTGTGTCTACCCTCGGAATTTCCAAAAGGACCACAGGATATTGGTCCCACTCCATTCAGGTAGCAGGCAGCGCTCTAGCAGGTCTTGGGGTTGGGTTAATGCGTTCTAGTGCTTTCCAAGTGGTACATAGGAGCCTGTGAAGCCTGACATGGGAAGAGGAGAACTGTGAACTGAGCTTTTTTTTTCAGCTCTAATTGAGTTTATTGGTACATTTAGGGATAGAGTACAGTTACATTCATTGTTGGGATCTTGTACCTCTACATGACAAGTCTTGCTTCTCATTTTTTCCCCCTAACCCCTGCCCTCCCTTCACCCCCTCCTCCCCTCCCCATCTACAAACACTTTTTTCCCATCTTTTCATTTGAACTGAGCTTTTTAAAACCTCATGCTCTTACTGATTTCAGTTAAGATCTGCAATTCTATTAACATTCTATTTGTTGTAATAGCAATGTTCAATCCGTAGGACACCTGAAAGATAAAGTACCTTGTTTTAATATAAATGGATAGTGGGAATGTAAAAATACTAAAAATTTCTATGACAGTTCCAAAGTAGAGATGCTAGTAAGGTTTGAAGGGGTGCCTCTGTGGTAAAGTTTAATCCAAAAAAAAGTACAAGCGTAGACTAGATCAGACATGTCGGAATATACTTGAACTCATTTGCTCAAGAAGCATAGGATTAAAAAAAATTTTTTTTCAGATCCGACAAAGATTTGGGTCTTTTAATATTTTAATTTTGTTACGTATTTAAAATTGTGGTTCTGAGTATTAGGGAGAGACCTTGTAATGAATAATGTTAAATTTTATTTGTAATAATAAATTTTTGTTTTTTTACCTAAGAAGTAGATGTGCCCATTTAGATATTTTTTTCTTTAATACTTGGAGTTTTTAAAATTACCAAATATTTTTGAGACTGTTGATATATTATTAAATTTACCACTACAAAATAAACATACAAGCAAATCAACAGTTAATTTTTAGTTTATCAAGAGATTTAGCTAAAGATTTTCTTTAATAAAAAAGTTTATTTAAGGTGATTGTTTTCAAGTCCCTAATTGCTTTTAATCACAGTTAAACTTTTTTCTCATTTCTTAAGGACTTGCTTTTCTGTCAAATTCTGTGAAGCTAATGTAATTCCTAGAGCAGCTTTTTATGCAGAGCTATTATACTTTTCCTTTTTTCTTTTTTTTTTTTGGTACCGGGAGTTGAATTTGGGTCCTTGAGCTTGCAAGGCAAGGCAGCGGCACCACTGAGCTAAATCATACTTTTCCTTTTTTAAAATTTATTTGTTTGCTTGTTTTTCTTTTGAGATGTGGTCTCAGTATGTAGTCCAGGCTGGCCTCTTAACTCAACAGTGATCCTCCTGCTTCAGCCTCCAGAGTACTGGAATTATAGGCATGTGCCACCAAGTTTAGAAAAGCTTTGTTTTTTAAATTTCATTTTTACTTTACTCAAATTGTTACTCAAACACTATTTTGTTTTAAATATTACAACAAAGATTAGCTGCATTGATCACTGTATTATTGGAGATGTAATATCTCTGGTAGCTTTTACTACTGTGACTTACATTTTATAGTTATGGTTTCTTGTAAATGCAATTCACCCAGGGGACAAAGATCTAAACTTTATCAAGATTTTGTCCTCTATCAGTCTTTAGTATATGAAAAAGAAATTTGATATGTCACACAAATGTAATGAAGTTTTATGTGGTGCTGCTTTTCCCAGTTTGTCTTCTATATTGTGAATGAAATAAGAACGCAGTGCTGATTTTAGTATTAGTTGAGGAGAGGAGGGAGTCAGCAGTAAATGTGTCTTTTCAGCTTGTTGGAAATCTGCAGTAGCAATTCACATTGCACCCACATTCCCACATAAAGCTGCGAAGATGACGAGGTACCACCTCAGATGACTGTGAAGGGTTGAAGAAAGGTTTATACTTCAGAAAATCAGTGGTGCCATGGCTCTGACGGGTAGCCCTGGAGGAGGAAATGAGGGATGGGGAGAACTAGCCTAAGCTGGCTTTGAAAATCCTGGGGGAAGATTGCAAACAAGAGGAGGTGGCAGCTGCAGATGGGAGCGCAGGTGACTGGTGTGTGTGGGAGACACAGGGGTGTGCAGGTGAGGAACATTTGGCCGTGTGACGGCTGTGAGGTGGGTGACATCACCTGCCAGAGCATGTGGGCAGAAGAGCATCTAGTGTGAGCCTCAGGGTCTCCAGCATTGCAGGGAAAGGCGCAGGAAGGAGGCACAGCAGGGGCTGGTTTGGGGGCAAGGGTGCAGGGGAGTCAGGTGGAGAGTGCAGTGGTTCCTCAGCTGGGAAGGGCAGTGCTGATCGCATCACTCGGGGAAGCTCTGCTTCAGCCTCCGAGGTAACTCCAGCTCGAGGGCCCTAGTTTCTGTTATTGCTTATTTTGGTTTTTTGAGATAGGGTCTTGCTATGTAGTTTATGCTGGCCTTGAACTCACTGTGTTGTCCAGGCTGGCCTTAAAACTCGGGGATCCTCCTGTCTCACCCTGAGTGCTGGGATTACAGACATGTGTCACCACACCCAGCTTCTAGTTTATATTACTTAGGCTTTTTCCCTTCCCATTTCATCCTTAGGTCTTTAAGCCCCACCTGTCTCAGTCTCTGGGGAAGGAAGACATCTGTATGTATCTTAATGTAAATTTCTGAAGAGCTGAACGTGCACACTGACTCCTGACTTCCCTCTCTCAGGGCCCCCAAGTCTTTCTGAACAGTGTCACTCCAGGGGCTTCCACCCCTCCGGAGATAAGGTTGGGTGTGACTGCAGAGGAGTGGTACTTTCTTAAGCCTGACAGACTGGTCAGGACCCTGTTGCAGAGCAAACCTTCTACAGCCCACCTACCAGCCCCTGCACGTTGTCACTTCCTCCATTTTGCTGCTCTCTGCCTCAGTTCCCTGTACACAGAGCTTGGCATTCCTTCTTGGTAACCTTTGTCAGCTAAAGAATCAGTGAATCGGCCACTTACGTTTATTTAGAGAATCAAGGTCTCTATCCTTCCAATGGCTCCTCCACTCTGCTGCCCAGGGTGCCAGCCCCTCCAGGAGCCAGTCAGAGATGGTGCACCATTGAGTCCTCACTGCAGCTCCCCCTAGACCTGAGAAATACACCTTGATGCTGTTTCTCAAATACATAGTGGTCAAGAATGGAGTGAGCCAGGCGTGGTGGCGCACGCCTGTAATCCCAGCACTTGGGAGGCTGAGGCAGGAGGATCGCTGTGAGTTTGAGACCAGCCTGAGCTACATAGTGAGTTCCAGGTCAGGCTCACTACATAGTGAGACTCTGTCTC